GCAGAAGTCTTTCTATTTGTTACCTCTAATCTCTATGATGAATAATCTAATAAGCCACAGGCCTAGTGGTGTAAAGGATTGGGTTCGGCTCTTGCAGATGAATGAAAATTTATAAATTTGTAGGATGTATATAGGGGACTGCAAATTATACCGAGAATAACATGGTAGCTGATGACCTTGCCAATCAGAGCTAACATATGGATCCCGAGTAGCAATATTTTGATGAGATCACGTATTACATATACACCAAAGGTAGATATAAACAAAATAGCCCCCTTTAGAAACCAAACAGTAACAAGAAGTTTCAATCATATTCTGAATCCACCGAACAAGCACGTCCACAGATTTTACGTATTACATATACACAAACGTTTATACTTTCATCTTTATCTTATTTAAACTTGATTACGGAAACCAAGTAAAAGATGTGGTTCAGCGATAAGTTAATGCGGTTTAACAACAGTTCCCGATATCAAAACACACTTACGTATAAACAGAGCACGAGCATCCAATGCCCAGGAAGGACACGCTCTCAATTCTCAAGCTCCACGGCCCATGGCCTGCTCCCCAGGAGGAATCATAACCAGAACTGGCTGAGCATTGAAACCAGGATGTGGCAGCCTGCGACGGATCTCACGACCTTCCTGGCATAGAGCACATGGATGACAGAACACGTGTGTTGCAAAATCACAGGCAGTCTCACATTGTTCCTGTTGTAGCTCATCATCCATAAAGCTACCACAGCACCCACAAGACCTATTAAGTGCCTCACAACTGCCCTGCTCATCACCACAAATCATAAAAAACACACATTTAATATCTCTCCCGAAATCTCTGGTAAAAATATATAGAATGATGCACATGCTCACTATGTAATGCTTTGAGTCGGACAATTAAAGTACTTTGTGTTATGATTATTAGACTCATTGTAAAGCCATGAACAAAAGAAGGGTAACTAAGAGAGTCCAACGATCAAAAACACCACATGCATTCCAAAAGTTATATACATATTATAAGCAAAATTTAAAATACAATAACGTATGCATTTTGAGGGGGAAAATATAAAACTTGCCTCTAGGTTGAATTTGCGGCGGATGGCAGTACGCCTAGGATATGAAAACCACGGTGCAAGGCAGTTCCAACCAAAAAAGGCGTTCCCAATCAGATAAAGAGCAGAGTATGGCAAACAGTGATTTGCAAACGTCCCAGGAGCAGATCCAAGTCTCTCAGCATTGCTTCCATACAACACACAAGGAGCCACACTTCCAAGAAGACCTACCCAAATGACATCAATGTTAGCATGCAAATTGACAATAGCATGTGGGAGGAGAACACTGGGAAAGTTTATTTACGAAAACTATGATCTTAAAGTCCCAAAGCCCTTATTATCAAGTATTAGCCAAAACTTTATCCAACTGTTTCGTGGGCACACAATTTTCATATCCAGTGGGAAATAAGTTGAAAATTTCTGAACTAACAGGTTTCTTCACAGTACCTTGGCCCATACAAAAGCTGAATGAACAAACAATTTATTTTATTAACCACTCATGTTTACTCAAATTTAGGGACTAGATGAATTTCAGCGTTAATATAATGCTAAGCAACAAAACCTATGTTTGTATAAGAAGGTAAGAGTATCCAATACAGAAAATCAAAGGAAAAAGGAGGTAAAGACGTAAGATCAATGAAAAATTATCCAAGACCTCAACTCGGGTAAGGCTGTAAACTCAAAAAGCTATTTCCAAGTGTGATCCAATCAAGAACGAATACCAAATTGCAGAATGGTACATCCAAGAACACATTTTGGCCATTCGGGTTCACGCTACCCCTTGGGTCAGCAGTAATCAACAAGATGCATAGCTATTCCAGAAAGTTCACAAAATCCCCTTTTCTATTAAGCAAGAAAGGTATGGCTGAAACCGTTCAACACAAAGAACATATCCTTGAATTCTACAATTATCATATAATCATAGAATACATCCAATCCGGCAAATATAGCAATACATAGTCTACTCAAGATTAATCGAAAAGCGGTCACAAAGAGATTTAAATTTAGCTAATTTAACATAATTTCAAAAAAAAAAAAAAAAAAAAAAAAAAAAAGGCAATTGAATCAATCTGTTCTCGAAAATCGAAGAAATCAAAGCTACTCAGGGCACAATAAAACAGACATCCAAACACCACACAATCCCAAGCTGTTAATTCAATAAAATCAAACGAAAAAACTTACAAACTTCGAGATCGCTGCTACAGAACTCATCATTACGCCCAAGACAAGCAAGGATGCTGGAGTCCCACTGAGCCCGACCCATAGGCTCACCCATCACGCTCCCGTGCCCCAAGGGCAGCCCATCGGCGGTCCACACGCACCCATTACCACCTCCATTCACATGCCCCACATCCGTCGGCGATTTCTCCGGCGAGGCCTTGGCGGGCTTCTCAGCATCCTTCTGGTTCTCCTCGAATTGCTTGCTCAGAAGAGGGCTCGATTCCTCCTGGACATTGCTCTCCCTGTTGTTGGTCGCCATGATTGATCACAGAGAGAAATCAGAAACCCCAGAAATCGAATAGCAGAGAGAGAGAGAATGAATTTTGAAACCCTAAAAATGGATCGACGGAATGAAAAGCGACAAAACTAGCTGTCTCAAAGTCGATGGTATCTATAGAACAAACCACGTTAACCGCGTTTTTGGTAATTAATGTTCGTCCACGTCACACCACCAGTCAACGTCGTTAGCTGGTTTTGATCTGCTGTGGCACCTACTGGGGTTTGTGCCGGTGTAAGTTCTGGCCACGTAACCATCTCCAACTGCAGTGTTCTGGACTTTCTTGCGTGGCAAAGAACTATTGGCTGGCGGATGTAACCATGTTTTTTTTTTTTTTGTCGAAATGTATCCATGCTATTGAGGATGTTCTTATTGTCAGTTTGGTTAAGTTTTAACGAATAAATTAAGAATTTGGGTATCTTCGAGGAAGAAGAAATCACCCAAATTGAGGTTTTGATTTAGGAAAATTCAAATTAAAGAATCAGTTTGACATTATTTATTTATTTATTTAAGAAAGCATTTTCTACGTCGAAACACCGATATATGTATATTTAGAGGTTTGATGGGATGGACTACGCCAAATATAATGGGACGATAATAATAATTTCGTATCGAATTCGTTATCTACGCGAATTAAATTTAGTACCCATTTACAAGTGAAATATAATAACACTATATGGTAATAATAAGTGGTAATTATTTAATCCAAGTTTTTTCTTTTAGATAATCCAAAATATGCAAAGTTAAAGTTTAACAAGAGGTGGGTTTCATATGTATTCCAAATCTCATGTTTGTTATTTTAGGATTTGACAAGTATAGTCCAATCCCACATTTTACCAATTAAAATTATAGTTAGGATAAAGATGGAAAATAATAAATTGTATCAAAAATAGAAAGTTACAAACGTTCAATAACTAATCTTCAGTCAAATTAAGAAATATGTACATCGTCGGGGTTGAGCCCATGCTCATATTGGGCATATTTGCACAATTTGATGGATCACCCTTCATTTGTTGATACAAATTTTTCTTTTTGAAAAAGATACGATAATAGATTTCATTTCATCAAAAGGTGTAAAACATTCATTTTGCACAACTTGACTCAATGCCTTACACATTCCTCTACAAGTAAGTCATTTATAACACTTGGAGGAGAAACTTTCCATTCACAGCTTTGAGTGAGAGAATTTGCATTGCGACGAGTATGGGTAACAGTAGCTTCAGTGATTGAATGAAGCAGTGCTTTGATGTCCTTCACAATTTGCCCAGCTGATGACAAATTAAGATTGAGATCCATCAAAGCCTCCACAATCTGAAGTGAATTACTCTCAAATAATAAATTTTGAAAACCCCTATCAACTGCCCAAGGCAAACCCTCCCTGAAATTTATCACCTCTGACTGCAGAGGAGAAAACATCCTCAAAATTTCCATATTTTGATGTCACGAACATTCTGAGGTCGTTTTGGATAATAGCCCCAAAGCCTGCAACTTTCCTATCCCAATTCCAGGATCTATCAATGTTCATCTTGAGGCGTCTAGGAGGTGGAACTGTCCATTTGGGAATGTTTGCTATCTGGATGTTACAAATCAAGACTACATATTTAGCCTCAACAAAGACTTACCACCATTGTACAACCCGATCAACACATACATAAAGAGTATCCATCTTCTCTTGCCATAATTTCCCATTCATTGCTCCCTACATAGCCCAACAAATCATAAGGAATAACTCGATGATGGAGGATGGACATCAAAACACTGCTTCATTCATTAAATGGATGGTAGTTTCTCCACATGAGTTGCATTGTATGCACTCTAAATCAATGGTGATGTGGTGTTTTGCCAGATTTCCACGGGTAGGAGATAATTCATTAGCAAGTCTCCACACAAAAACCTTGACTTATGGTGGAACGTTAGCATTCCACAAACTTGACCACAGTATGTTGGAGGCCATAGTCCAAGCCGATGATGAGGCACCACTGTTTGTAGGCTCAGCCAACATCTCGTTATGTGGTATTCACTTTTTACAATAAGCTTACCATGCTTCTCATAGTGCCAAATCAAGTAATTCGGCGGGGATTGTACACTCAATGGGATGAAGCGAATTACGTTTACTTCCTCACCAGAGAAAAGGGTCTGAAGCATCCCAATATTACATCTTTTAGTGTTTTGGTCTATAAGGTCATCCACAATTCTCAACATGCACCCTACCGGTTTTTTAGAGAAGGGTAGGACTAAAGAGGGGATTGGAATCCAAGGATCTTCCCAGATTCGAATAGAATGGCCACCGCCCACCTTACATCATAAGCCAAGGCCAATAATCTTACACACCATGCATATACTCTTTTAACAGTCAGAGGCATGGGGCTTTAGAGGTGCCTCCATGAAAGATCCATTTAGAAAATACAAGCAGGTATACCCTCGCGCGTTGCTGCGGGGTTTGAAAAATTATTAGTAGTGTAGAAAGTGTAGAAAATATGTGTTAAAGAGTAGAGTTTGTATGCCTATAGTACATTCGCCTGTTCTATTGTTCCTTACAAATATATATGAACATAAATATTCATGACATTGCATTTAAAATATTTATATTAATCATAACATTGCATATTCCAAATTTTCTCATTCCAAGGGCAAAACCTCTGCTTGATCTTTCGTAACCACGTCACACCTCCAGTAAAGCCATGCCTAAGAGAAAAACCGATAAAGATGAACAGCATAAAAAGCCATGTAGATTAAATGTGGCATAATTTGAGAGAAACAAAAGGAACTCACCAAACCCAACTACTCCACACCCTGCTCCAAGTTTAATCACACGATTTCATTTCACTTTTAGATGAGCATTCTTTTTCTGCATTTATTTTCCTGAAAAAAACCAAAAAAAAAAAAAACCACATGCATATTTATTAACATAAAAGCTAATTGTGATGTTATGTTTGTACATTAAAAATTCACTAATAATGATTATATTATACAAATTCATTTTTTTTTTCACATTATATTAGTCTGTACATTAGAATCTGATATGAATATAATTTAATTTTGTTAGTAAAAGTTAGTATTTAATAGAAGATTAGTTCATGAAGATCAATCAATTTGCTAGAAATTAAACTATTAATGTAACCAATGAAGTAATAAATTACTATGATGTATTACCAAAGTGAAATATTTGTAAGGGATTTGTTCATAATGGGTATAAATCCACCTTTCATTTAAATGTTCTCGTACCTTAATGCATATATTTTACATATTTATTCATTTCAGTAAACATGGTTGTAAACTTGTAACTATATGCAAAAATTTTACTCATCAAACAAATCACTAAAAAAATTTGCATAATCTATCTGCAACTCAAAAAATAAAAAGAGAGAAATTATTATCTGCAACTTAAAAATAAAAAGAGAGATAGAAACTTGTTGGAAAAACGAAAACCCTCGCCGGAACTGAAACTAATCGAGGCATGCAACGGGTATTTTTTACTTCTGAGATGAACGGAAGACAATTGGTGGCAAAGGGGAGGTCCGATTCGCCGACGTTTGGCTAGAAACAACTCGCCAGACTTGGGGCACCAAAACCTCAACTGCTTAATAATATCAAAAATTGTGATAAGCCATCCAATCGCAGGTAATCAGGTAGTATATTTTTTTTTAAAACTCTGATTAATTTTTACATATTCTTCTTTTCTGGTGAGAAGGTTAGGGATAAGCTCGCAGCTAAACTCAAGAGTGAAACAACCTGTTTGCTCTGTTTTTTGTGGGACTACAATTCCAGATTCGTATAGCAACATGTCTAAACTGTTCAAGTTGTAAGTGCTGCTTCTAATTCTATGTCTTTTAGTAAGTTTAAAGGTCAAAGTGTGTGATCTAAGGACTACAATCTCTATTTATTCATACATCAGATTTAAAGCTCCAACTACGGAGGTGTAAATCCAAAAGATTTGTGATTAATCATAGCAACAATAGAGGGAATACAATTGGGGTAACTTTCGAAGGTGTAGAGTAAAAATATTACCTTGGCGAGACCTAAAAGAGGTCTCAAAGGCCTGAAATTGGCCGAAAAAGATTCGGATCTTCGTCGAAAAAACCCACCGCAAGCTGGACTTATGGAAATCTTCGATCGATGGGTAGATTCGAGCATGCAAAGCTCACATGTTGCTGTTGGGACTCTTTGAGTCAAATAGTTGTGGTTGCAGGGGCGGCCGCCACCAGAAAACCTCTGAAAGTCGCCAGGAATGTCGAACCCAAACTGGGTTCCTCGCAAGTTGAGCAACCCTTAACGACGAAATCCACGACGGAGAATCCATTATCCCCAGCCCGCCAGGATGCTCTGACAGCCTTTACGAAGGGCCATGTGCTCATTACCACAGGGTACTGCCCTGAATTCGAAGCTTCGTGGCCTATGACCTGATAACCCATCAATAAAAATATGATCTTTAATAAAATAATACCACCCAATCATGCATGTAACGAAAGAACCAACTTTTTCCTCTTTAAATCAAAAAAATTAAAATAAAATTATGCTCAGTTTCTAGGTTTCCTTGCTTTTTAATTATTTTTTTGAGGAAAAAAAGTAGGAAAATGATGAGATGCAGAGAGATATGGACAGATTGGATTAGAGAGGAGTTGGAAGCGGAATCGCCAGTTCTCTGTAAATTCGATGGAAACGGAGCAGTTAGGGTTTGAAGCGGAAACTACAAATTCGAAGCATATATTGACATGCAAAAGGTGTAGAAAGTACCTTAGGTGATGAGGAGCCGTTTTAGACCAATGGAATCGTCAAAATCATCGCTACCCGCAACTGTGTATCCAGCGAGTCGTGGAGAGAAGAGTGAGGGAGAAGAGATAGAAGGGAGAAGGAAGAATATGAGGAGAACATTTCGTTTTGGTTGGTTTAAGGTTTGAGAGTTTTCAGAAGTTGCAGAGATGAGCTCAGGTGTGATTCGAGGAAGCTTAGGACTGTGTCGAACAGAAGCAGCAACTACAGATTTAAGGGTGAAAAGGGGAGAAAAAGAAATGGAAAAACTAAAGTCTTTATAAATTTTCTCAGACAGTGGCAGACATGCAATAACAAAAACTAAACAGGGGCAAAATCGTCAGTGCACTGTGATTATGAATAGTGATTCAGTGTGTTTTTAGTTTTAGTATAGATTGAATTTAGCCTTTAATACCTTTACAACCAAACGATGGGGCTCTATAATTATTCTCCATCCCTGTTTTGCTAGCATCCCCAAATTGAAAGCATATAGTTTTCGAAGAATTATTCTTTCAGACAAATGTTTACAAATGGAAGAATTATTCTTTCAGACAAATCAATGTGACTAGGGAGAAAACCAATTCAAATTGAAAAAAGAGAAAACCTAATAGAATTGCTCTCACATGCCACATTTGATTGGGTTTGTGGTTTGTCATAGTCCGTGTCATTTCCTTCTCTACCTCTATCCCCATCTCACTTTTCCTTTAAGCGTTGTTTTGCCCTATCTCTTCAATGATGGTGGTTGGCCCCATCTCTCCAAAGAAGGTGGTTTGTCCCAATCACCATCCAACAATATGGTGATTGTGTCTGAGATTTGTCTCAATTTGGGAACTAGCTTCCCCTGTTTTGGTTTTCCTCTAATTGCTCACTTTTCTTGCAATGTGCACTAAATTTTTCTGTAATGTTCCAAAAATATTTTCAGAAGCACAATCTGATGGTAGGCCAAAACAATGTCATAATAAATTTCAACTCTACTAGCCAAAATAAATTTAATTCGATCACTTTATGATTGCATCTAACCTCCTCGTTAGACTGCCTACGTACCTTAGAAAGAGATCAAGCCATTCGTAGTTCACCAATGTAATTAAACTGTTTTCTAACTATTCAAGTGGCGGAAAAATACAATACTAGATTCAGATAATCGAATCATGACAAATGAATATCAAATATGAAATAAGAACATCGAAATTAGCTAAAAAGGCAAAGTTGGTCCATTGGCCACGCACTGCACGTGCCACCGCCACAAACGGAAACCTAATTTTATAACTAACTCCAAAAATTACCAAACTTCACAAATTTGTAGTACACAACAAGGGGAAGAATTTTCATACTTGGGCCGAAGTCCAATTCGGTCATGAAACACCTGAAATTGCCCTTAGCCGCAGAAAACCCTAGAAATGGGTGTTCTTCAATTCGTCGAATTTGTAGTTTCGCCGCCCCAAAACTTGTTTGGGTTTTGATCTAGGCCTCAAGTGCAGTTGAACAAGGGTGGTGGTCAACGGTGGTGCTTGCAGAAACGGCCGATCGTTGCCATGCACCCACAAAACTCGTCGATGAGTTCTTCACGAAACCGAGGCCAAATATAAGAGGGAACAATGGGGAATATTTTTCAGGTGGTAGCAAGCCTTGGATTGCAGGAAAAATTCTGAATCAGCGTCATGGTGTGTGCAAGAACCGGGTTGCATGGGTTCCGGGTTGGCCGGTTCCTTCTTCTCCCATTTCGCCTCTTTTCCTTTCTCCTTATTAGGTGGATTTCCCCCTTATTTCTCTCATTTCCCTTTCTCCCCCAACTAGATCCACACACGTGGCATTGGAAGGTTCTCCAGCTTTCCGGGAGCCTTCCAGAAAAAAAAATTTTAATTACCATTTTACCCCTATATTTAACTGTTAATTTCTCTTTTGTTAAAACTCTGTTTCACAAACGGTTTTCACCTATGCGCTTGTAGGACCATGCTCTATCCAAATATGCCAAGAGACACGGTGAAACATGGGAGGATAAAGTACGTCCTTGTATAATTCAGTTTAGCCAACTAGGGGTAGTTTCATCTTTTCCACTTATCAAAAAATTATGTGCCGTAAATATAAATGTATCATAACTACGAATACGACAACAAAATATTTAATAATAAAATCTAGGAATAGGATTTCACATTTCCCCTCCCCATTTAAATTTCATAAATAAATCACGTATTTAAAAATAATTAGGGTATTACATTTTCATTGGCCCCAAATTTCACACAAATCCCTAACCCAAACACAAATTCACCCTTACTCTCTTCATCATCCTCTATCGCTTCCTTTTCCACTCCACCTTGGCCTTATTGACTCTCATTTGCCGTAAAAAAATCATGCTTTCAATTGAGTACTCTAACCGAGCTCTTGTGTCTACTAGCCACCCTAAGAGCGAATCGTCGCTCATTCAGTTAAAGGTGTGTGAAATCAAGACTTGGTTTCGTCGCGAAACTCTACCTTGCCTCATTTTTTGGTTCTGAATTCATGTCTTGATTTGCTAGTGTTAGAACTATGTTCTTGCTGGGGTTGAAATTATGTTCTTACAGGTCCCTGAGTGGTGGACATAGTTGTGAAGTTTTGATGCATCATTTGTAGGTTGATTGGTGTTAAATTTGAGCTTTGGTGTTGATATAATGTTATGTGTTTGTGGTATAGCTTTGTTTATCATTTAGGGCTCTGAAAGACCTGTATATGGTACGTTTAGGGTGCATTTGTCATTTTGTGGTGCGAAATTGACGGTGTAGATTGTTCTTTGCCTTTGGTTTTCGAGCGGCTATGGTTGACCATCCCTCACCTAGGCTTCTAAGGTTTTCTTTGCTAGCCACTTTGTGGATCCCAATTGGTTAGGTCACTTAAGAGGGTATGTTTTTATGGGTTGTAACCCCTATGCAGTGACACCATTACTCATGCTTTGTTTGCATTAGTAGCATTATTTTTGTATGCTAGTCCTTTCTAAGGTTAGTTGTAGGTTGTTATATGTCTGTTGGATTTGTTTAATGAATAACTCTACCTTTGACAGAAAAAACAATCAATGTGAAATTTCTTTGGATATGTTATTTTTGCTTGCACTATCGCATAGTAATCAATAACCTAACAGGGAGTTCGATAAAGTGATTTCCTACAAGATTGACCTCGATTCTTCACCATCATATAGTTTTCAAGTTATTCAGTACAATTGATATCTGCATATTAGCTAGGGTTTGTTTTGTCAACTGACCCTCTTGAATCTTGATGCATATTAAGAGAAAGTCTTGCATGTATTAGTAGACGGTCACGTTATATGAGTCTCCATTGTTGAAGCTTACTCATGGCACTCGTTAACGACAATGGTAAAACTTAATGAAACTGAAGCCACGAAAAAAAATTTACACATAAAAATATATTAAATCAAAATGCTATATAATGATAAACTCGTTTTGTATAAATCGTTCTCCATAAAAAGACATCTCTTAGCTGTTAGCTCTCTTCTTTGTCAACAGTTCCATGAAATGTTTGCTTACTAAAATGATGGATCAAAAGGTGGTGAAGGGCCCAAAGGATACACCATTTTTATTTTTGAATGTTTAAACATATTTTTCTGCAAAAATATAATTAAGTTATCTAATATAATGCGGATCAGTTTTATAAGTAGATAGTTTAAGAAAAGAGTAATGCTAGTAGACCAACCTTTTAGACTAAATTTACGAATCATGTGATATGTCATCAATTAAAAATAAGCACGTTAATTAAAACTTAAATAACAATCTAATTGTCAACAACTACATCATATGATTTAAATAAAGGATAATGCTAAAGAAATCAACTATTTAGACCAATTTTGTAAACCATATGATGCGGTTGTTGATGGCTGAATTTTAAGTGTTGATTAACGTGCTTATTTCCGATTGGCAACAAATCATTAACTTACAAATTTGATCTAAAAATTTAATCGACTAACATTAACGTATTTATTTTCTATTGGCAACAGATCACCTAACTTACAAATTTGATCTAAAAATTTAATCTACTAGCATTATCATGGAAATTGAGAAGCATTAAATTTGGAGGAAGTACCTGTAAGTGTGTGGTTCCCCAAGTGGCATCCAACTCGTCCATCATAGTAATTATGCGTTACTATCATGCAGAAGCAATGCCAAGTCGCTCTGCCACATTACATGTGTCTCACCACATGCATGATGCATCTATTGCACTAGCTACTACAATATGCACCAAACCATTACGCAAATTAATGTTCATCCAGCGATGATAAGAGAATCTGATATATCCATCCACTTTCGCTCTCAAACCATAACCCTAAACTCTCATACCACCACATAATGTTAGCAACACTACTACAAAATTATCTATAACTGGCGGTTCAAAAAACGACAAAAAACGTATATTACTGTCGGATTTTAAGCAAAATCTGACAGAAAATGGATGCAGTGACGGTTATAATAAGCGACAGATTTGCCAGCATCAGAAAATGAATTTTCCGAAAGAAAATACTCTAAAACCGACAGAAATTGTGTCGGATATAACCGACAATATATATATATATTTATCATAAATAAATAAGAGAATTTCTAACATCCGTCACTAATTAAATGATGTGTTGGATATAATTTATCCGACAATATTTTTCTAAATCCGCCACCATCATCTACCACCTAAATCTAATATTGTAGTAGTGCAAGGTTGACGAAATATAAACTAAGTCACGCTAGCCCCAAGATCGAGTTATGCCTTCTTGAATTCATGATCTCCAATTACATGCGTTGCCTAATTCAGCTATCGTAAGGTTGTGATACTGGTCCATCGACCGGATCGAGCAGCGTATATTGCTTCAGAAATTAGTAATATATCTCATCAATTTCATCTTTAAACTATAGGTGGCATTGTAACGGTCTCAATGAAAAGTTCATTGGAACCATCTGCTAAATTTGTGTAGTAATTCTATTCCATTGCATGTTACTAATAAACTACATAGATTGAATTGTTTATTTCTTAGGCCTAAGTAAATATAATATTAATGATAGTTACAACGATAATTATATTCATTGTTCCGGGCATATATAAGATCTTGGAGTCCTTCATTTACACAAAGGCGATAAAATTAAAATTTTTAAAAGATTGCTATATATTCATCGCCTATATTAATACATGTTCATATTGAAATCTAAAATACTAAAAGGGAACAAATTGCGAACCAAAATTAACACTCCCACTGTCCAGATGACTTTCTTCATTCATGTACTTTCTTCACCTGCAAAGAAAATTACAACATAAGAGTACAGAACAAATATATATACAAATATACATATATATAATACATGTAATTAGAAACATAAAATACCATGCGAATTAAGTTAAGAAAAGCTTTAAAAGTTTCTAAAGAGCTTGTGAAATAAGAGTGACCAAATATTAATGTTGTCACACAAGCCTAAATCCAAATTAAAAAAAGTTGCTAAATTGAGTTTAGACAAGTTGGCTAGAACAAAGTGCTGTCTATGTACTCAAATTCGAATTCACTCTCTTCATAATTTAAATTAAATTAAATATCGCTCAAATAATTTAAAAAAAGAAAAGAAAAAATAAGCTGAACCCCAATAAGAACTTAAAATAAATTAATAATAATAAAAAAAAAGCTAATCCATGTAAGTGCATGAGCTCTTACCTTTCTTCCCATCTTAGCAGCTTTAATGCTCTCAGGTTTTGGGGTTGCCATGGCGTTTTCTTTGTGAATCAATGGCTTAGGCTTCTTCCCATGATAATGATGAGGCGGCGGAACTGATGAGTGTGTCTCCGGACCTCTATAATCAATCTCATAAACGTCAGTATCCATCAAATCCGATCCACCTACTAAAACACACCACCAAAAATATTAGCAAACTAATAAACTTAATTTATATGAGCATATACCACATAAATCAAATTATTTCAGGGGAGTGATTCCCAATACAATTTTCTCCATTAAAACTGTTAGATTTCTGGTAGATTGAACAAATCAAAATAGAGAAACAAACAGGAATGTACGGAGAGAAAAGGCGTGCAGAAACCATTTTGTTTGATTCAAACCTTTAGAAAAGCTAGGTTTGGCAAGGAGGAAGAGAAAAAGGCAGGTGGTTAAGATTGTAGAGTTCTTAAGCTTCTCCATTTTTCATGCCAATGACTGTCAGAACATAAAAATGAGCAGTACTTATATAAAGGGAAGAATGAGCTCACGAAAGAAGCAAGGCATGAGAGATGATTTAAAGGAGAAATTAGGTTCTCATCATTCCTTTTGCTACGCCATTAATTAAAATCCTTTTCATTTTCAATTTTTGATCAAGATCCTTAGGTATTTATAACATAATTAATTATTTTAATAATAAAATATTTTTTTATTTCTAAATATATTCATTTAATGTTAAAAATGTTACAATTAGTATATTTATATTTATGACTAAATTTTTTATCCTATATTTTTAGTTTTAGTTTGTACCCATTTTTAATTTGTAATTTTTTTTTTAATTTGTACCAATTTTCTTTTCAATTTTAATTTGTACCCATATATTGATTTCTTTTTGTGCCCATATTTTTTTAAAGTTTATTTGTATTTGTACCCATATATATTTTTTTATTTTGATAAACGTACCCATGCTAATTATATGCACCCATTCATGTAAAACTTTATAATCTTAAAATGTACTCATTCTTAAATATACCAATTTGTTATATGTAAAATGTACCATTTTTTTTTATATAAAATCTATTCAATTCTTTTCTAATCAATTTTTAAACTTATATGGGTACATTCTTTTTTCTTTGATTTTAAAATGTATCCATGTCAAGTTTAATTGAAGAAATTTACTAATGTTATTAAGCCTAATATCTTTTTTTTTTTTTTTTTTTTTTTGATTTTGAAGAATGTACCCATGTGATGACCGGTCCTTAATTTTCATATGTAAATTCTCCCCGAATATGTAATTTGACGATTATGCCCTTATTGGCAAGTGACATGGACATATTCTTATCGCTTTCATTTTATTTCTCGCTATTGCATTTAAATTGTACACGTTAGTACGAGTCGGCATAGATTTTAAAGTGTAAAAATATCTACTTCGGATAGATTTCGATTACCTTTTACTGTAGGGAATCTGAAAACCTATCCTTTGGATTCCCTTTTTATCCTACCCGTGCATCCCCTCCATTTTTCACTCTCTCACCTATCCCATCTCTCCCCCATTTCTGTCACCCAATCAGAAAAAGGAAAAAAGGAACTCTCTCTCTCCCGTATACTCCTTCTTTTCTACAACGCCATGAATGAGCTTCAAAGCTCGTAGATTGAACTCACAAACTACACCATTGTGCTCATCTCAGTCCCATGATCACAACCATGTCCTTGAAATTTGGTGTAGACGAGTTTTGACTCACCAACTCAGAAGGTTCGACTCAGCGAGTTCGATATAACGATTTTCAGGCCATTTATGGCTTAGGTAAGCCTTGAGAAACCCTTAGAACCTTCATTTCAATTCTATGGGTTGATATTGATCTCTTGTTTGTGTTTTGAACGTATGGTTTAACCCAGAAAACTCAAGAAGAAGATTTTACATGTTTTTCATTCAAGGACTGTGACCATTTGGTCACTTTCAACCCATTTTTCTGGTCAACCTCGACCACAACTGGACTCCTACTAGGTACAAACTTGTTCTCTACATTCCTAACTTCAAAATGGCTTTTGAATCACTGAGTTTGGTTAAATAATGAGTTAGAAATCAATTCTGGAAGTTAGGAAGAAATTTCCAGTTTGCTAGAAATCTACAATCGTGGTCATTTAACCACTTTCAGGCCAAATTTCTGAACAACTCGGACCGTATTCGAATGTTCTATGAATTGGGATCGATACATCACATTCCTAGCTTTAATTTGGCTTTTGTATAAGTGTTTTTGGTTAAGAATCGAGCTCGTTAGGAGCTCTGAAAGTTGGCCCAAAAATCTGCAAAACTGCAGAAAATCGCAAGGCGAGTACGCCTGTAGTCGCGGGCACGTGGGGCGTCCGTGGCCAGTTTGTGCAGCCCCTTTTGGCAGCGCGTGAAGGCGCGTTCGGCCTCCGGCCAGCATGTGGTCGACACATGTGTGTTCGTGTTGTCGAGTAGATCGATTTCGTATAATTAAACCCTAGGTTTGAGCAAACTATGGGGGTTTTATTTAGGTTTCCGTTATGTGTTTTAATTAATGTTATTTTAGTTATTTCACATATAGGGAAAACTTATCACAAGGATTTACGAGGCCAAGCTAGGTTCGGGGGCTACGACCCAGCAATGTACTTGTGAGTGAGCAATTGTTTTATACCTATACATATTTATAGTTTCCATAAATGCGTATTTATTTCACTTTTACGCTTATATTGCCAAGTATCGTTATTGTGATATTAATTGTGATAAATGCTACTATATGGCTGAGATATTACTATCATGACATTCATACATATTTGTACATGCTCATCTTGATGCACCAGTGTTAGTACTCGCCCCAAGGCCAGAGCCAGTCCTTCACGTGTATGTTCACATCGCATCGTTCGCTCGCCTTGAATCTAAGTTAGGTGCCAGTCCTGTCGGGTAGATTGCATTAGGCAACCCGACTTGTATGTGATCGTGCTTCTGCACCAGCCTTCACGTGATCGTAGTACTAGAGCATATTGATTACACCCAGTCCTGTTCATGTCAGAAATTATTTGTGTAAACTTATGTGTGTGTCAGCTTAGATGGATGAGCACTTAGCTATACTTGATTATCACATGATTATATTATTGTGGCATTTGATACATCATAACTTGGCATATATTTGGTTACAACTCCGTTATAGTATTGTTAATTTATCGTATACATACCTATGTAGTATGTTTTAAGGAAACTATACTTGTTTTACGGCGAAGGATTAATATATTCAAAGATAAAGGTTTTCTTATAAGTATTGTTTTGCTGACCCACTTAACTTTGTTTTTCACCCATCCAGGACCTAGATAGCTGTACTCTTTGTGGTACTCGAGGAATCTCAGCAGTTGTGACATTTCCTTCTATTTAGACGTACGAACTTATCACTGTTATGTAATAAGTGTACTTTAGTTATCTTGACTACTTTTCTGTAGTCTCACTGCCTTACGCTCTGAATAATTGTAGTGGGTTTGTCCCACGATTGCGCATTCTTTCACTGTTTAGTTCTAATTAGTTTCAAGTTTATTCACTTTTTGCATCACTTACCTTTATGGTTACGTCACCTCACGGTGATGGCCATCATGCTTTGACCTCTCTAGGTTTGGGTGTGTCAGCTTGGTATCAAAGCATAGGTTTAGACAGTCCTGCACTTCCTATTGTGTTTTAACTCTTGTTTTCTTATGTCAGAACCATGCCACCTCGTAAAGAGCCACGTTATCCAGCTGAGAATAACTTTCCGGACTTTGGGCAGTTTGGTGAGGCTATCGCCAATGTTATTCAGTCTTCACTTTGTCCTACCCCAAAGAATTCTCTGGATATTGTATCTCGCCTGAAGATTAATGATTTCTTCGGTAATGAGGGATCGGAGAAATTAGAGATATGGTTCGATCATGTTGAGAAAACTTTTCGAGTTATGCATAGGCAGGGAAATCTTTCCCTAGAGAGATGGGTCGAGACAACGACCTGGTTCTTTCGATTGAGGGCAAAATCTAGGTAGGATCATGATAGAAAATCATTATCTGATAAGGATGCTATAAATTGGGATGTTTTCAAACAGTTATTTCAGACCAGATTTGTTCATCCGAAGTATTTGGATAGTAAGAAGAATGAGTTCACAGACTTGAGGCACGGTAAGATGTCAGCCACCAAGTATCATCGAAGGTTCATAGACTTATCTCGTTATTGCCTTGAGACTGCTTCTAATCCCCGGGAAATGCTTCGTTTGTTTAAGAGGGGAATTTGCAAGAAATGGTGTACTATAGCAACCTCTACTCCTTGTGCTACTTACCAGGAGTGCTTCGAGGTCTTGCTTCGGATTGAAGATTCAGAGAATGCTCCTGACGATGAGGATAAGGAGGATGTTGGCAGGAATGTCTAGAGGTACAATAATAGGGGGCAATCATCACTTGGCCCAAGAAGGGCTCATAATTTTAAAATGAGTGGAAATAGCTCGGATCTTCGAGCGGGGGTTCTAACCCTCAGAGGGAAGGCAGATCCTTTGGTGGTTCTCGTTTTCAGAATCAAGGAAACTCCAATAGTTCAAGTGTTAAGTTTTGTTGTAGGTGTAACACCCGTCACTATGGCGAGTGTAAAAGATGAAGCATATGATGTTTCACTTGCGGACAAACAGGGCATATGGCCTATAATTGTCCTCAAAATCAAAAGAATCAGCCTGCTAATCTATCATCTGCAGTCCCCTTACAGCAGCTTCCAGCACTTGGTAATCATCAGCAGATAGGCCACGGTAGAGCTTTCCACTACCAAGGGGGCATAGCCCCGAGTCAGGGAGGACCATACCAGTATACACCTGAGGTTCCCTACTATCAGGGAGGCTATCAACTGACTCAGGGAGGTTATCCGCAGTTCCAGGGAGATTATACGCTGTATTAAGACGGTGGAGCACAAATGTATACTGGAGGACAATATCAGAATCTAGACGTAGCATCTAGCAGTGGAGGTTCAGTTAGACATGCAAATCTACCCCAACTGGGCCGAGGTAATCAGACTTAAGTAAATAGGGGTCGTGGAGGCAGGCAGTAAGTTTAAGGAAGAGTTAACAACATCACCATTCAGGATGCTCAGGCTAATCCGAATTTGATCATGGGTTCGTTGAATGTTCTAAGCCATTTTGCTAAAGTTTTAATTGATTATGGTGCTACACATTCAGTTATATCCCATAAGTTTGCTTAAACGACTCAACCACATCATACTTCACTCGACTATGAGTTGGAGTTCTCGATGCCTAGGGGTGAAATCTGTTAAGTTAGTTGGGAATATCAAGGATGTCCCATCCTTGTCGAAAATGTAGTAATGTCGGCTAATCTTATTCCTTTGGATATTGTTGATTTTGACGTTATCTTAGGCATGGATTGGTTACACTATAATCATGCCAGGTTGGACTGTTATGAGAAGGTTGTTACTTTTCACCAACCGGGCATGCCTACTGTCACGTTTATCGGTGAACGCAGTAGTTTAAAGCACAGAGTTATTACTGCCATGAAGGCGAAACGACTGTTGAGTAAAGGTTGTCAAGGATACTTAGCTCA